CAATCAAATACGTATTGATAGTAGAATGCCTTATCCTTGAATTGATATGCGTTGTTTCTACTGCTTAGAATACAATTCACGTCTGATGATGGTGTTGGAAACCTGGTTCCATCGTGCTGTACAATGAGTCTCTTCAATCTGTTGAATATCTTCTTGGGTAATTTGTCATCAATGTAGAATATTTTATCGTAGAACATTCCATGGTTACTGCACGATATTGCATCATATTTCAGCACCTTTTTGAATTTGGAGTAATCACTGCTGAATATCTCATCTGTTTTGATCACTGGTATTCCGTACTTGATACAAAAGTGATATTTATCTGAGCTAGTATCATCACAAACCAGGAAATCCGTGTATATTGACACATTTGGATTAAATTTGGCACCTAACAATATGAAATAGTTTGAGTAGAGTGGGGATGATACGCCACTTGTGCTAAACAGGGCATTCTCAAACTTGTTTAGTCTCATATTGATGGCTTCTTCTGACGTATTTGTTGCATTTGTCTCTTTATGCATGCAATCGATGCTCAATACTTCTATTTCTGTATTCAGGGCTTCCACGTACTTCTCAGTAAACAAGGCCTTGTACGTCACCAGATGCCGTGTACTTGGCGTCATCATGTTGTTTCGTTCCTTCTTCTCTACCAATTCCATTTCTTCATTTGTAATTCCTGTGTAACAAAAGGTATCTTCTGTCATGGGCTTTTTTAGTCAATTTATTTTACTTGTCTGCTATGATTCCCACTATTTTTGATATCAAATCATCCACACACTTCTCATCCAAATCACCCACCTTCTTATTGAATTCTGTTTCCAGACACACTTTCAGCTCCTCAAGGTATCTGGCATCCTCTACATTTTTCCGTTCTAAATCATTTTTCAGGTCCTCTTCCAACGCCTTAATGTGGTCTGCTGCATCCTTACGTGCTCTATTCACCACCTCTTTCTTGTACTCCTTTGCTGCCTTTATTTTGTTGCTTGCGTCATTCTCTGCCTGTATCACCAATTTGATTCCATCAGATGTCATTCACTTGATTATTTTGCCGTCTTTTATCATTTTTGTTTCAGGTTGTTTATTAAATCATACTCTCACTCCAATAACAATTTATTGATGATGTTATTAGCTGTTTCTTTCCGTGTGTACAACCCCCCGACTTCTGTTTGGTGCATGATGAGCACTTGTTTTCCTCATCTCTTCGATTTCCTTATCCAGTGGATTTGGATCTGTTAATGATTCAGTGCTGTTGTAAATAAGGATAGGGTTGTTGTATCTACAATACGAATCGTAGATTGTATCCCTACCTTCTATAACCTCACATTTCATCTTTCTTGGTTTGGGTGCTGGAACTTCTATCCTTCGTCGTTTTCTCCTTTTACGACCTGGTTTACCTTGATCCCTCTTCACAATTTCATCAGGATCAGTATCACTTGAAGGATCTTCCTTTGGTTTCACCCTTGTAATGTCAAATCTAGACTCTGAATCCAGAGATGGCATTCTCTTCCTTTTATTACGCCTTGGTACCGTTTTTTCCTTGTTCTCATAATCAGGTGATTGAGGCGGATTTACCTTAATACTAGGATTGGCATCAGAGGAGCTTGATGTATACAACGAACTTCCAGACNTGGTACCGTTTTTTCCTTGTTCTCATAATCAGGTGATTGAGGCGGATTTACCTTAATACTAGGATTGGCATCAGAGGAGCTTGATGTATACAACGAACTTCCAGACGCATATGGAGAGATTGTATTACAGGTTTCACTTCCTGTTTCTATCAAGCTACTGTCTACGACACGACTAGTCAAATTGAAACGTATAAAGTGTAACAGCATAAGGTGGTATTTTACAAAAAATTTTAATTTCAGATTGTCAAAAATCACCTTATTTTATATTGTTCGTATTCTCTCGTTTGTATAACAACATAATAATTTCTGATGGTTTGTGGGTTCAAAATTGATTAGAAATCAGGAGGTTAAAATATTTCATGACAGTGCATAGAAACAAGTTACATTTTCATTAACACTGATATCATTGTATAGGCATATCCTTATAGAATGGTAGTTGAGAGTAACCTGTGTATTTACTTGTTTCTTCTACAACAGATTCCTATTCTTGATGTATTTCTTGTAGTGTTTCACAGCTTTCTTTCCCTCCACTTCTTCTGTGAATCTGTACAACCTAAGTGTCATCTGTGGTCCAATTTCATTCATCCGTGTTTTGGTATTCTTCAACTTCTTCTCTGATAGTGATAAGACAAACTTGAACATCCTGAAATAGATGAAATCCTTGTGGACCGAACAGTTGATCACCTTATTGGCATCCAAATCCATTGGAANAGTAACCTGTGTATTTACTTGTTTCTTCTACAACAGATTCCTATTCTTGATGTATTTCTTGTAGTGTTTCACAGCTTTCTTTCCCTCCACTTCTTCTGTGAATCTGTACAACCTAAGTGTCATCTGTGGTCCAATTTCATTCATCCGTGTTTTGGTATTCTTCAACTTCTTCTCTGATAGTGATAAGACAAACTTGAACATCCTGAAATAGATGAAATCCTTGTGGACCGAACAGTTGATCACCTTATTGGCATCCAAATCCATTGGAAACAGGTCCATGAATATTTCTGCTACTTTGACACCCAATTCCGTATTAAAATTGGATAGAATCAGCTGTGACTTGTTCGTTGTCTCTTCATTCGTTCCCATACTCCTTCTTGTCTTATAGTTGATTATTTTGAATACAACCTGCTTATTCTTGGTGTCAATCAGTATGTATCTTGGTCCAATTTCCTCATGTATTCTTATAAATGCTGTATTTTCATCAATATTCTCCAATACATCTGATGCATCATCCACTACCATGACATTGTCGAATAAGCTGCAGATATCATCCAATAACATTCCAGTATCCTCTGTCTGTTCTTCATTCTTCAGAATATAGATTTGATTTACAGTCATTTGGGATAAAAAAATCCAAAATATCTGA